TGGCATGTGTAGAGTGCCAGGAGAAGGTGTGGGTTCTCTTGGTGTGAAATGTGAGTCCCTGTAGCCTAGGATGGGATATACAGGGCTTGGGAGCCAGGCCAAGTTGCTTAATCCAGACTTGGCCTTCAAAATGATGGCCTGTTGAGAAGTGGGCTGCAAATGCTAGCCCCACAATCCATAGTTTTTCTTTTTGACCCATGCAGTGAACTCCTGTGTTCTGCCCTAGATCAGTTCCCCCAAGAAAGTGCTTACTCTGGTGTTTAAGATCTTTTGGCTATCCTTAGAAGTTGAGGGAAAGAGTTTGCAATTAAGATTGCAAGGAATGAATGTTTATACCTTGACATTACTGAGGGGTGGGATTGGAAGTCATTGTCTAGGCAGGTGTATTTCTAACAAGACACTCAGAAGATGCCAAAGAGTCATTAATCATAACATACTCTTGACGCCTTTAAAAGAATTACATTTGCTTCATTTTACCTTCATTGGAGCCAGGTGAATTGTGGTCACTAATGTGTTTCAGATAGGAAAGAGCTGATCTCAAGCTTGGATGAGGCTACTAGTCTCTTGGGGGAGAAGAGGTCTCATTCTTACACTCAGAGCATATGGAACTCAAGGTTCCTTTGAGCCCTACTTCAAGGGCTCAGACTTGCCCAGGCTCCTCCAGCCTCAGTGATAGTTGGTGGGGAGTACAGCCTGACTAAGAATCTAATTAGCCCCAGGCTATATAAAGGAAGTCACTTAACCCTGTTTGCCTCAGTTTCCTCATCTGTAAAATGAGCTGGAGAAAGAAGTAACAAACCACTCCAGTATCTCTGAAAAGAAAACCTCAAAAAGGGGTTATAAAGGGTTGGACAAGATGGAAACAACTAACCAACAACAAAATATAAAGGAATCTGAGCCTTAATAATAAAAGCATCTAGTATTTATATGGCTCTTGAAGGTTTTGCAAAGAACTTTTACCTGTTTAATCTCCTTTGATCCTTCCAATAACACTCTGAGGTAGATGCCTGTTTTTTATCACCATTTTGCACAGGAAAAAACTGAACCTGAGAGAGATGACTTGCCTCAGGATCACACAAAAAGTGTATGTGGCAGGATTTGAACTCAGGTCTTCCTAACTCTAAGTCTGGCATTCTCTCCACTGGGCCGTGTAGATGCCATTGAGAAAGCTAATGAAAAGTATTCTCAAATAGCACACCCTACCTACAGAGCACAAACTTCTAGGCATGAGCAATTTCTAGGGAATGGATAGTAGCAAACGTTTGCTGAGCACTGATTCTATGGAGAGCATTGTGCTGGGTCCAAGGGTATACAGAAATGTAAGAAGGCCCCTGCCTTCAACAGACTAAAAATTTAGTTGGAGAGACAGGACATGAGAAAGGCAGAATGATGTGGTGGAAAGAGTACTAAAGAGTCAGAAGGTGGGCTTAGATCCTAGCTCTGATATTTACTAGTTATGGAACCATGACTTCACATTTTCTGAACCTCAGTTTCTTCATCTGTAAGATGGGCTAAGCATTTGTACTACCTACCTCACAGGGTTGTTTTGAAAATAAGGCTTCTGTCAACTGCCAAGTGCTGTGTAGTTGAGTTGATAAGCTTGAGCCTGGGTTCTGGTCCTGTCTCTGGCATACTGATTTTGTGACCATGGCAAATCTCTTTACCTGAGGCTGAGTTGCCACATTAGTAAAATGGGAATGCTAATGATGACTGTATAACCTACCTCACAGGGTTGTTGTGAGGAAGGCACTTTGTCAACCCCTATGATAGAGTCTGAGCTAGCATTCATTTCCCTTTTGCCCTCTGTTATCAGAGTAAATGTGGTCACATCTGGAAAGCCCCAGGGAACCATTGCCTCTTACTCAGGTGGGCTCAGGGAAGATGATAGAAGAGCTAGGACTGTGGGGACTCAGCTTAATGGTCTAGGCCCTTAGGACTGTGGGTACCCTGCCAGGAGCCCTTGGAAAGAGGCAAAGCTGAGGCGGGTCCCAGATGGTTTCTCCCTCGGGCCTCGGTGGTGGCCGCAGGACTGCTAAAGCTTTGTTTGGGTGGGAGGCAGGGATTGCAGCTTCTGCAGCCGTCCTGTCCCCTCCACTGCATGGGCCCAATGTAGAAACCATCCTTGCCTTTGTGTTTGAGCATCCCCAAAGCAGGTCGCTGCTTCTCTGACCATCACTGCATCCAACCAGATTAGGATGGCTGCTTGGTATGGCCACCCTTTTTGACCTGGGGAGGGGGCAATAGTAAGCATGGGCTGGCAGGGGGTGGGGGGAGAAGGGGAAAAATGGCAGAAAAAAAAAACCAAACTTGGCTCTGCTTCTCCTTTGGGTGCTATGAGTCCTGTTCCTGGAAGATATGCTCTCTGCCTGAATCAACACAAACATTTTTCTTCTCTTCTCTTCCCTTCTCTCCCTCCCGCTTCCCTTTCAACTCTCTCCTTCTCTCACCTGCCTGTCTCTTTTGCTTTACTTTTCTGTAAGGTAAGCCAACTTTTTATTGCAGTTCTGTACCTAAACTCTAACCTGCATAGGGGAAAACCCCTGGTGCTCATGGGGGGGTGGGGGGTGGGGAGGACCTGGGATATCCAGAAAGTTGCATCTGTGTCAGGGGCAAGAGCTCTGAGGCTCTAGCAATAGTGCCTCGGCAGGGCCCCAGTCCTGGGGAAGCTGTGTGGTTCCATAAGGAGGGGAAGTCTGTGGCCCTCATGTGATTTAGAGGGTATAGTTTTGAGGGTTTTCGAGCTTTTCTTGTGTGTCGCTCTCCTCCTGCCCAAAGACTTGTTCTCAAACATTCAGCCTCCTTTCCCAGCCTTCCATCCTAACGCCACTACCATTTCTCTGCCACTGCCCCTAGTCAGGGCCTTGTGAACCCCACACCATTGCAAAGCCCCCTCTCTTCTTCTCTTTTCCCTATCAGGGGATCCCTCTTGGTATAGTTGAAAGTGCTTGATTTGAAGTCAAAGGACCCAGGTTCAAATCTGAGTGCTGCCACCTCTGTGACTTTGAGCAAGTCATTTCATTTCTTTGGGCCTCAGTTTCCTCATCTGTAAAATGAGGAGATTGGACCAGACGGCCTCTGAGGATCCTTATAGTCTAAATTGATGATCCTAAGCCCCTTCAGCCAGTTTCCACACCAGCTCCAGCTCTTCTAGGGTCTCCATTCTTCCTCTCAAATATTTGAGCTCTTCTCTCTCTCCTCCTGCTCCCAGAGTGCCATCAGTCAATCCCTCTTGTCTGTATTCTTGGTACCTGGCCTTACCAGCCAAGGTACCTCTCCCTCCTGGTCCAAAGCCAACTGGCATTGTGGAAAAGAAACATGAAACTACAAACAAGAAGCTTGTCGGGGATAGGCTAATGTGGTCAGAAAGCTTTGAAGGCAGGGGCTTAAGGAGGGAGGAAAGGGGGAGGGGAGGGAACTTGACCATAGGGAGGATGGGTTGTAGGGGTTAAAAATGTTGCTCTGTAACCAAAAGGACTATAAGCTCTGTCTGGGGCTGGGATGCCCTCTGGGAGGGTGGCGGGGAGGGGAACGTGAGACTGTTCCTCAGAAGGTTGCCCAGTGTTTGGAACACAGAATTTCTAGGTGCTTTTCTGTTTTCTCTGTTCCTGAGCTTTCCATTAAATGCCTCCATGCCACATTAAGATGAAAGGAAATCCCTAAACCATATCTAGTCAGGCAGACATCGGAGATGCTCTGTTTTTCTTTTCAAAAAGATAATGTGGGGAGAGAGTAAGCTCTTTTCATTCCCACTCTTAAATGTGCCGATTGGTCAGGTCCCTGTCCATCTTACTGACTGCAGAGGCCATCCCTCCTTCGGGGCTCAGGCTGCTGTGGAAGGTTCTTTAGAGGGTAAAGGAACCTGTCCTTGCCCTGGAGGAGGAAATTCTCAGCTGTCTGAATGTGGCCCCAGGGATAGGGAAGAGAAGCTACCACTGTCAGTGAATGTCCAGAGCTGGAGAAATAAACCTGGCCTGGCCACCTGTAGGGTTTGTTACAGAGCACTGAGTCACAGTGCCCTGAGGGACCTGAGATAGCATGGGGGAAGGGAACGGCACAGAGCAGGATTTGCCAGCCCTTGTCCCAGGGTTGCCCTGAGGGGGCTCAGGCTAGTTTTCTTTGGCATGTGGGCCGGCTGCCACTGCCACACACTTCTTACTGCTGGGGAAAGTGGCTGGCTGGCCTTGAGAATCTGTGGCTGGCCTGGGTAGATGGCATACTCATGGCTAGAGCCGTTCAACACCCTCCTGACATCTGGAGTTAGGTACCCTTTGGGAGACCCTTTCCAAAAGTGCCAGCCCCTGCTTTCAAGTATGGCCTGTGTCCTAGGCAAAGACTGAAAGGTAAAATGGGGCAAGATGGCACAGGTGAGATCTCTCTGGCCAACCCTACTTCCATTAGGACAGGCCATAGCCCACTCTAAACAGGATCGGAGAATATTTTTCTAATGGGTTAGCCCTCTGGAAACCAGTGATATAGTGAGGAACCCTTAAACATTCTTCATGGGTTTCAGGGAGGGAAAAAGGATTTTGAGGGACTGTGCAAGAAAGTTGGGAGAAAACATCAAGCCAGGGAAATTAGAGATGCTCAGAGCCACCACTGTGAAGCCTGTCTTATGAACTCTCCTCATTTGGGGTGGGGACCTTGGTGGTTGAGAAAGTCCAAGTCCCTGGCAAATTCTAGAATTCTGGGGACTGAACCACTTGATAGGGAAAGACCATTGTTTTCCTGGGAACCCTTCTCTCACTCACTTCAGGGGGCCCAGCTTCTCCCTCTGTAGATGGTCATCTCCAGAATTCACAAAGGCGTCCAGACTCTTTCCTGTCCTCCTGCAGAGGTTAGGTGGGATCAGGCAGGAACTGGTGGTGGGGCCTGTGTACCTTGTTAATGGGGGCCCAGCAACAGCATGGGGTCTATTGGCCCTCACCAGTCCTGCAGCAAGAAGCTGCCTCAGGGTGTGGTCTCTGGCTCTAACACCTGCTCTTTCCCTCCCAATGCAGCAGCTAAGAGCTTACTGAATAAGAAGGCGGATGGAGTCAAGGTGAGGTATTCCCTGATGGGCTTTTCTGGACCCCACCAGTTCTGGGGTGGCAGGGTGGCTTTCCCTGGCAGCTTTTGCTCTTAGCTCTGACACCCTTGTTGCAGTCAAAGAATATTAGATTAAGAGTTTGAATACTGGATCACCTGCATGACCTTGAGTGAGTCACAACTTCTCTGGGCTTCGGTTTCCTCATCTATACACAATGAAAGGGGTTGGTCTAGATCAGGGCTTCTTAAACTTTTTATACAGTCCTCCTTTTCACGTTTTGGCAGTGTAAGTTGATGTTGCATGGCCTGAGGGCATGCACAATGCAAAGTGCACATGCTGTGTGTTCAGAGTCAAGGCTGCAGTGAAGTTGCCTGATGCAATGCGGACAAGCACTGCCAGAAACACCTCAGATTCATTACACATTTGATTCTGAATTAATTTTTTTGTCATTGCACATTCAGAAACCTTTTACTGTTGCCAAATTTTTCATGACCCCATATGGGGTTGCAATGTGTAGTTTAAGAAGCACTGATCTAGGGGCAGCTAGGTGGCACAGTGGATAGAGCACCAGCCCTGGAGTCAGGAGGACCTGAGTTCAAATCCAGCCTCAGACACATAACACTTACTGGCTGTGTCACTTAACCTGGGCAAGTCACTTAACCCCATTGCCTAGCCAAAAAAAAAAAAAAAAAGAAGCACTGATCTAGATGACCTCTGTGGTCCCTTTCAGCTCCACATCCATAATCCTTTGGCCCAGTGGCAACCCTGCTTTGAAGCTGTAGCCTTGATTACCCCCACCTGGCAGTTCTCACCTCTCCCACACTTTCCGGGTACCCCAAGAGCACTGCCTCTCCCTGTCCACTTCCTACTATAGATGGTCCACCCAGTGTCCATATTCTCCCAGAAGTGACTTAAAAGGGGAGTCTAGTTAGGGGGGCCCTCTCATCTTGGCAGTAGATCCAAGTATGCTCATGGCATTTTCCTGCTCTTTGTCTCTGTCTTTGTTTGCTATCTCTGTCTCTGTCTCTTTCCTCCTTCACAGCCCCAGACGAACAGCACCAAAAACAGCGCGGGTGTCACCAGCCCCAAGGGGACGCTCCCTCCTGCTGCCCTGGTACTGAGCTCTTTTCGTTCTCATTGTTCTACATTCTCCTTGGGCTGAGTGGCTGTGTGCTGGTCACTTCCCCACAAAAAGCCCCAGCTTGGGCTTAGGTCCAGTTGAGGCTCTTCCAGGGCCTTCCAATGAACAGAGGCACCCAAATAGCAGCTCAACCACCAAGGTGGTCTTCACCAACAGCTGTGAAGAAGGGCACATGGGTATGGAAGGGAGGGAAGGGCTCTTCTGGAAAGCACATTTTGAGGGGTCATTGGGAAAGGAGGGACTAAGGAGTGATTCCCTGAAGTTAAGGCCTCTCATGTGGTCATAAGAACATCTCAGCCAGGTTACAGGTCCTAGAACAACTCTGTCACTGATAAGCTACTTGTGACCTTGGGAGCATGCACACCTCTCTAGGTCTCACTTTTCTCATCTGTAAAATGAGAGGTTTGGACCAGATGATTCCTCAGGGTTCAGAATTGGGGACAAGGCCACAAGTAGTCCCTCATCCCCTCACAGTGTGACTTTATTCATTGTGTTTCTGGTGAGGAAACAAGGATAGAACAATACCTCCTTTGTTAAATAGATCCTGGGGACAAAATCTTGAAACAAAGATAGATGGGACTGGAAGAAATCCTGATATTCTCAACACTGGGTTGGAGAAGAGAAAGGTTAAAACTGTCGCTCCTGGAAAGAAAGTCAAAGGGGAGAGTCTTGGGTTTGAGAAGCAATGTGGAAGGACCTGGGTTCAAATACTGCCTTCCTTACATATGTGACCTTGGACAAATCCCTTCCTCTCTCTAAGCCTCTATTTCCTCACTTGGAAAATGAGGGGGCTGGGCGTATATGGCCTCTGACACCCCTTCCAGCTCTTAATCAATGACCATGTGAGAGGGAAGGGTAGAAGCTCTGAGAGCAAGCTTGACTCTAAATTGGTGGGTGATCCTGGAAGGGGCTTGAACTTGTTCTATTTGTCTCCAGAGGGCAAAACCAGAAGGGATAGGCTTGAAATAGAAAAGAAACAAACTTAGGCTTGATGTTAGGAGGAACCTCCTATCAGATAGGGTTCTCCAGAAGTGACATAGGCTTCCTCAGGAGGTGGTGAGCTCCCCATCAATGGAAATCTTCAAGCAAGGGATGGGGCATATTGTTGTGGGGATGCTTTCTTTGGTATAGCCACTGAGGTCCCTTCAGATGCTAAAATTTAGAGATCTTCTGGGCAGGGCAGAATTTCTAGGATCCACATCTTAGTCACCTGGGTCCCACTGTAGGAACCTCTCTAGGAAAAGCTGAATAAATCTTTAGGGCCCCTGTGAGGAGAGTAGCTGTCAAAGTCCACCTTTGGGAGCCCATCCTTCTGGCCCCTCTAATTTCAGGGTCACAGGGAGTACAAAATATATTATGATGACTCCTTTATTATTTCTCCCTTTAGGAATGAAATGCTTGACAATACAGGGCAAGGTTGGAATGAATGGTGTTCATTAAGAGATATTCCGTATTATCCAGAAAGCAAGGGGGGACTCACACAGCTTGTCTAAGTTCATTTATCATCTTTGCCCCTTGTTCCTGTTAGATTTTAATTTCCCTATTGGAAAAGTTGGACTGATGGTCTAGATCTACCAAGTACCATGGGATCAGTATCTTTCAGTGGGTTTTATTTCCCCACAGTGACAAGGAGAAGATATTTCTTAATAGGGATGCCCCTTAGCCAGGTAGTACTGATGAATCAAAGCCCTGGTCTGGGGCCAGGAACAATTTCTGGTGGGTGAGCAGCCCAGGAGGCCTGTTGGTCATATGCCTGGGTCATGCAGGCTGGGGGACCTTCTGTAGAGAAAATGTCATTGATCTGGGCAATCTCCTGTATTTATCTGAAAGGGTATCTTCTTGACTTAGGAACTGGAAACTGTAGGAGGATGAGATGTTTAGAAATGGTAACTATAGAACCTAGCAAGGCTGAGAATGTAGCCATCTATAGGGAGAACATCTCTCTGGGTACTGCTTCCCATGTGTTCCCATCTGCCCAGACAAAAAAAAAAAGTAAAAAAAAAAACCCACTTGGAAATAGGCCCTTGGTGACTGGGCAAGTCACTTAACCCCAATTGCCTTACCAAAAAAAAAAAAAAAAGAAAGAAATAGGCCCTTGGGGCTGGCAAACCAATGACACTCTGCACCCACTCACCCCTCCTGCCTCTCATTGCCACTAAGCCTATTTCTCCACTTGACTTCAGAGTCTTCCCATAATACCAATGGTGGGAGGCAGATGCCTGTCTTAAACACTGCCTGTTCTCTCAAAACTTCGTAAAAAGAAGGGGAGTCAGCTTTGTTACAGCTGTTTTTGGAAGACTGAAGCTTTGAGTACGGACCACATCCTGCCCTGGGGACCCGAAAGGCTTTTGAGCTCTAGATTGGGTGTGTGTGTTGCGGGGGACGTGTTCCTTCTCATAAGAGGTGATGGATCAGGGTACAGAATGAGACAAATATATTTTGAGACATGACCAATGCAGAAATTTTGCTTGACTATGCATTTTTGTTACAAAGTTTTTTTTTTCCTTTTTCAGTTGGGGTTGGGAAAGAGAGAAAATAGATTTTTGTTTATTGAAAAAAAAATTAAATAAAAAAATTAAGGGCCATGCCTCAGATTACAAGAACACTGAATTAGAGTCTTCTGGAGCCAGGTCTTAGACCCAGAATCAATTGCCTCTTTTCTAGGTTTTGGGCCCAGAGCTGAATTACAGAAAGGGCAGAATGGGGATCAGGATGTCACATGATACCACTTTTTTTCTTTGACCTCATGGGTTTAGACATTTTGTTTTCATTTATTTATTTATTTATTTTTGGCTAGGCAATGGGATTAAGTGACTTGCCCAGGGTCACACAGCTAGTAAGTGTTATGTGTCTGAGGCCAGATTTGAACTCAGGTCCTCCTGAATCCAGGGCCGGTGCTCTATCCGGTTTAGACATTTTATAACAGACTCTAGATTTTTTTTCCTTTCTCCACAGACTGAGCTGGGATTTGAGGAAAGAGAGTCTTGGGACAGGAGCATGAGGGTGGGGACCTGGCAGAGGCCTATCCTAGAACCACTGGGAAGCAAGAGCCAGCTGCTTTCAATACCTTTGAAATTTAAAAAAAAATTTTTGATTTCATTTTTTAATTAACAAGCATTTGTTTTCTCTCTCTTCTACTTCTCCAATTTAAAGGGAAAAAAAAAGAAAATCTTTGTAGTAAATATGTATAGTGAAATAAAACAAATTCCTACTATGTCCATGTCCAAAAATGTGTGTCAGAATTTCCCTTATTGAGGGAAGATGAGCCAGGCTCTTCTCCAGCCTCTGCTTTTCCCCAGCCCATACATGGCCACCTAATTTTCTTGGTTATTGATTTTACATGCTACTGACAAACTAGACTAAACATACCATTCCCCAGGGCTGTCCTTGCATCTGATAGGCTGTGGATGGTCAGTCCTCAGAGCCCACTTCCTGGAGCAGCCTTGCAAATCAGCTACCAAACTATTTGTTCTGGGCAAATACTAGTGAATCCTGGCCAGTGGTCAGGAGCGCTGGCTACCTTTCCTTTATACCTAATGTGCTTCCAATGAGCTGGTAAAGATGGCACAGGCTGCTGCTGAATGTGAAGTACGTATCTTATAAGGGTGCCCTAAGGATACAGAGAGTAAGTAGTCCCCTCTTCTGACTTGTCTGCATCCACACGTGTGGGGTTTCTTGGCCAGATGGATACATTTTCATGAACCTGGTGTATCACTCAAAAGTGGTATATAAATTTATTTTTGGTCAGTCAATATTTTAAGTAAACTAGAAACCTTATTGTTACAGTGAATCTGTTAAGAACAATCATCACCCACAGCTTTAATCTGTTTTGCAAATTGAAATGTTCATGTAGTGGGTGGGTTTGCACAAATTGAGACATTACCTGAATTGTCTCCAGCTAAATGTGATTGTGGCCTTTGGGCTCCATCTAGTCCCTTGACTGTGCTTCGTGGAAGAGTACCTACAAGGAAATGTCCCCTAAGAAAGTTTCAGTCCCTGGGATTTGCCGGATTGAGTACTGTGAGCTGGTTTGTTTTGCTTGGTGAAGGTCTGGAGTGAAGTCCAGAGTCTCACTCTTCAGCTTGTGTCCCACAATGCCATTGAGAGCTGATGGAGCAAGGAGGCGAGAGTCTTGGTTCTGAAGGAATGATGCCTTGGGGGACTAGAAGCTGAGCTGAAAGCAGTGAGCCCCGAAGGAAAGAGTGGGACATGTACTCTGGTCCCTAGCGCCATTTTGTTTTGGCACTGGGAGACAAATCCCAAGTCGTGTTGGCTCCATTTGGATTGGGTTTAGATGTGACCCTCTGCAGACACGAATGTACAACTCCAAAGAAGGGTATTTTGTGGATTTCCCCTACCTGTGCAGCCATTGCCAAGAGTGCCTATCCAGATCGCCACAGCTGTAGCTGTAAGCCTGGCACTATCCACTGCCTTGTCCTGCCCCCTGGAAAAAGCCTCTGGAGAGGACCGCCCAGACAGTGATGGGGGAAGGGAGAGGAAATCCTTCTAAAGCAGACCTCAGCAGTGACCCTGGCATTGGGATTAGACCCCTCCTTTGGCTCCTCTCTGTCCTCACAGCAATCTATTATTCTCTGCTCACCTACATAACATGAAATGCTTCTCTCAGCCTTAAGTGAGCCCCCAACTGCTGTTTTCATGCTCTTCATCCCTTCTTCTCCTCTCTCGAGATGGGTGACAATCTTTACATGGTTTGGGATATTTTTTATTTCATTCATGTTAATTCAATTCCAGATTTCTCTTCTAGCCTTACTCTGCCACTCTCTGTTTTGAATCATTTGTCTCTCACTGAACTAATTACTTTTTGCTTCCCCCCTCCCATTTCTACCTCTCTTCTGCTCTTTCCTGAACTTCTTTTCATCTCTCTCCTTCTCTCTCTTCATCATGCTGTCATCTCTCCACTTTTCTCTGTCTCTTCAATGTTTCCTTTTCTTTCCTATTGGCATCATTTCTTTTTTTCTCCCTCATTCTACCTCTCTTTCCTTCCTCTGTCTCTTTCTTCCTCTGTAGGAGCCTCAAACCACCGTTATCCATAACCCAGTGGACGGGATTAAGGTACTGCTGCCTCTCTTTCCTTCTCACCCTTTTGGGAATTTCTGTTTTTTCTCTTTTGTGATTTGGGACCCAGCTAGTTGGGGTCACTATGTAACTGTGCTATCCCCCTGCTTCCCTCTCAAAACAGACTCTGGGCTCTATGGTTTTTGTTTTTATGATTGTGAGAAGAAGATCCAGGTTAGTTAGTGGTTAGGAAGCTAAAGGGCTAAGGAGAGTGTCAAAAAGCCCCTGGAGTCTCAAAATTAGTTAGATGGCGTTGAGCTTCTGGGGATCTGAGTGACTTGGAGTCAGGAAGATCTGAATTCAAATCCTGCCTCAGACACTTACTAGCTATGTAACCTTAGGTAAGTCACTTAACTTCTCAGCCTTGGTTTCCTTAATCTGAAAAACTGGGATAGTGATAACACCTATCTCACAAGTGATTGTGGAGGTCAAATTAGATAACATATAAAGCACTTTGCAAAACTTAAAGTGCTATAGAAATGTGGAATTATTATTATTATTATTATTATCATCATTAATTTCTATCTAGCCTCCAATGAATGACATTGTCCGGGGAGTATGAAAGGACCTCAGCATTTGGACTCCCCAGGGCGGTTGTAGTGTATATAGCCCTTCAGGTGGAGTTGTCAGGGCCCTTCAATTTCCATAGTTTCATGTTAGAGAAGGTAACTAGTGTTCCCTACCCTATCCTCTTTGCCCAAGCTGTCCAAGGCAGTAGAAGAGAGGATCGTCCTCCACCCAGGCCTTTTGGTCATTAGAGATGGGACCCTAAGGGGATGGGCCCAGAATAGCATGGGAGTGGGTTGGAGAAACAATGGGGAAGGTAGTAGGGAGCTTGGATTGGCTGAGGGAAGCAGCACTGTGCCTGGCCCCTCCCCCACTGCTCATGTACTGTGTCCACCTCGGACAAGCCTGCTCTCCTGCCCTCAAATGTTTTCTGCTCAAGAGACTTCTTTTTCCTGTCCACTTCTGCTCCACTCTGATCATCAACTCACGTCAGCGCATCGGCATAACCATTCCAGGGGAGGAAGCCTGAGCCTTGCGGGGGCTGCTTAGGTGGTAGCTCAACAGGAGGCCTTCCCTCTCCTAGTGCCATCCTGTCTGGCTGCCGTGTGCACACCTGCACTCCCTCAGGAGGGCTAATCCTATGTGACAGGCAGTGGGGTGTAATGTTAAGGACAACTGGATATGGAGCCAGAGGACTTGGGGCATTTGAATCTAGGCTCTGGTGCTCACAATCGTGGGAGTCATTTCCCTTGTCTAGGCCTCAGTTTCCCTGTCTCTAAGGTAAAGTGATCTGACTGGATGATCTAGGTCACGTAGATGAGCTCAGAGGTCCTCGATTCCCAGTTGTCTTGGAGATGAACTTCTAAAAGTAAATGCTGAAAATGGGGGTGGTTCTCAAGCTGTTAGCATGTTCCAGCACCCGTTTCCTTTACCCTCTATTGGATATCCCCTTATGTCTCTGGGCCTCACAAGCTTGGATTAGATGGTCTCTAAGGTCCTTTCCAGCTATAAAGTTCAAGGAGATTGCCCTTTCCGAATGAGGTGTTCTCTAGGGCACATGCATGTATGCGTGTGTGTGTCTTTGTGTCTTCTGTGTGTCCTCTGTAGTCAATTTGCCTGTTGTTTTCTGCAAGGAAGAATAGTCTTTCAAGAGTGACCCCTGCACCAAAAGGAGAGGAGGGGAGCTGCCTCCTCTTTGTTTCCTGCGACCGAGGTCAATCAGCAATTATCAATCAAACATCTACAATATGCCAGGCACTGTGTTAGGCTATGGGGATATGAGAATGAATAATGAATAGATCTAGTGCCTGCCTATACTGGTTGGACTGGCTCAAGAGAAGCTTTGTCTGGCTGATTCGTGGCATTGAGCATAGTCTTGGCAGCCCTTCTTCAGAGACCTCCCCCACAATCTCCCTCCTAGCTTTCCCAGTTCATCAGTGTTTTACTCATAGGGTCTGGAAGTCTGTCACCTAGAGAGCAGACCCAGCCCTTTCTTCCCACAACACTCTGGGCCAGTTCAGTCCCACCAGCATAGGGTAGGGTTCTGCTTCCCTGAAGGCTACTTCTCCCTTTTACAAGAAAGGCAGTGTGGTATAATGGAAAGAGTGCTGGCCTTGGAGTCAGGAAGACATAGAATCGAATCTTACCTTAGACATGGCCTAGCTCTACAGCCCAGGGCAAATCACTTAAATCTCTCTGAAAATCAGTTTCCTTTTCTGTAAAAGAGATTAATAGCAACTCCTTCACAGGCTTGTGGTGGTTGTCAGGCTCAAGTGAGATCATGTGTGTAAAGCTAAAGAGAGCCATTGTTATTATTTGGAGAAACAATGTGATGTGATTACTTTGGGATGTGCTTAACCATTGTGTTTTTCTGAAGCCCCCAAAGGGCCTGTACCAGTGTCCGGCTGAGGAGCTCACTAAACCAGAGCCAGTTCACAGTCTATGCTGTTGCTACCATTAGAAAGAAAAGTCCCAACTCTTTCTCTGTTATCTGAGTTTCCCCCATAGAGAACCAAAACCTTAGCTGTAAGAAAGAGTTCTGGGGCCACAAGTAGGGCGTGGTTGGCTTCTCAAGGATCCTGGAAGACTAGGCTGGAACCCACACAGGTATAAGCATAGAAAAAGTCAGAAGGCCTCAATGAGGGCACCAGTCCCAGGAGAGATGCTTTTCCGAGGTATCTCTCATCCTTTGTGTGGGTTCCAGCACATCTCTGTGAATCTCAGTGGTTGTTGTCCCACCCTGGCAGCTGATGGGGGGTTCCCTTGGCCATTTCTGGGGAGTTGTAGGCTCACAGAAACATAGTCATATCCAGATTAGCTAGAATGCACACACAAGGAATAGGATACTCTGGCGAATTGAGTTTTCTGACTGACTGAATGTTTTGTCCTTTCTCATTGCAAGCCACATCATTTAGAAGTTCTAAAGCATCCACTTTCCTGCCTGAGCAAGAAGAAGCCCAGTGAATGTATCTGTCTTTTTGATGATTCAGAGTCACTGTCCTAAACCTCAGTTCTGCTCACCTGGAAGCCTGTATGGGGTTCTACCATAGTTGTAGACATAGAAGGTAGAGGAGGTTGAAGCTGGTGTTTCTTGATTCCCAAGGCACACTCTGAAAATTATTGAGGAGTTGTTGTTTTAAATAGGCCAGGGTTTCGAGGGTCCGTCAGCATAATAGGCACTCTGTACACTGCTCAGAAAATAGTGCTGCTGTCATGGACAAATTCACTGTCCCATGGCCAGTACCTAGATGAGCCCTCCAACCTTAGCTGGGCAGATCCTCAGAAACCATACGGGCTGCTTCCAGGCCTGCACCCAAAATGTGTGTGGTAGGTCCTGTCAGAGCTCCTTCACGCTCTGTTGTCATAGCCTTCCAAAACACAGGCTCACCCCCAGGCTTCAGCGAGATACCAGCGAGGCAGGATGTTAGTGGAGGGTGGTGGTTGTCCTCAGTGTTGCTGCTCTTGTCTCAGAATTCCTGACATTAGCCTGTTTCCTTGCCGTTTGTTTCTCTTTTCAGAAAGCTGAGGTTCTGTCTCTCCAAAAAGAAAAAGAAAGAAAGAGACAGAAAAACCCAGCCAATCTATTTTACTTATTTGAGGTTTTGCTGTCCTCTGTCCAATCCTAATACGTGTGTGTGTGTGCGTGTGTGTGTGTGTGTGTGTGTGTGTGTGTGTGTGTGTGTGTGTGTGTGTCCCAAATTCTTCCTGGACCATCCTTCCATTTTCTTCTCACTAGGTCCTAAGGAGAAATGAGGGGAGGGAAAGGGGGACCTGGAAAGAAGGGAAGATGCTGAGAGGTGCTCCAGATCTAGGGAAAAGTGGACCAAAGGCTCTTAGCTTAGCCACAGGCACCTTCTTCCAGGTCTGTTGAAGCGTGGGCATTGCTCTGTGGAGTTCCAGCCAAGAGGCTTGATCAGAGTGGGCCTCTGCTGGAGCTCACAGCAGACTATGAGTGGTGTTGCTACTGATGGGTTAGCTCCTTAACCAGGCACAGACCTCATCCAGGAGAGGGCTGCTTTGGCTTAGTTGGAGACTACTCCATCCTGTCTGCCAGCTCTTGGGGGCTGCTCCAGCTCCGTATCCTATGGCTGCCACCTCTTGTCAAACTCCTTTCTTTTCTGTCTTTCTCATCTGCTCCCTGTGTACTCCCTTTAGGAATCATCAGACAGCACCAACACCACCATAGAGGATGAAGACACCAAAGGTAAGGCCCCCTCGGCTGACCTTCCAGTGGCCAGAGAGGCAGGGAAGGCCAGAGACTGGAGGCATTTGGAGGGAATTGGAAATGCTTTGGGCTCTGGGCTTGATTCAAAGAAATAATAAGGAAAGCAGGAGAGGCTAAGAAGCACCCATGAGTGAAAAAGAGAACAGACTCTAGGCTGCTCTGGAACACCTTCCCTTTAGGCTATAGTTGTGGGATAGGACTGGGGAGCTATATCAGGGGGTCTGAGTGGCATGTGCCAGCCTCGCAAGCCCAGGACTTAAAAAGAGGCTGCAGACTGATTTCAGACTCTGACAAAGTAAGCCCAGAGTGACTCCCAAACCAAAGGTTTCCCTAGGTTCCACTGTTACTTTCCATCTGCCAACACCTCCCAAAGGAGCAGAGGTGTCACCATTGAGAACACATCCTCACCTATTTGTTCCTCTCTGGCATCCCCTTGCATAGTTTCTCATCCACCCAATGGGTGCTTACCAAGCGGGTCACGGTAAGTATGAGGTGTACAGGGAAGAACACCTCCAAAGACCTTGATTCAGATTCCCTCTGTTACTTGGCAGCTAGTGATTCTGGGTAAGTCATTTCTATTCCTTGGGTCTGGGTTACCTCATCTGGAAAAGGAGCAAGGTTAGACTTGAATGGATGATCTCTAAGGCCACCTCTTTCAGCTCTAAGTCTTATGAAACTATTAAACTCCTTTCCTATGCTAGGTTGGCTGCGTCAGCCACTGGCAGCTTCATACCTGTAACCTCAGTTTTACAGACCCCATCTTTCACTTCCTGGTCCATAGTTGACTTTTCTCCTGGGTCCTCTCCTTTTGGGGAGGGTGGGTCTGGTCTTAGTCCCCGAGGCAGGAAGGCCCTTTCTATATGAGTCTTTTAAGCCTTTCATTTAGGTCCATGCCGGATGGTGTGGCAGGAAATCCCCTCCCTGGCAGCCTGAATCAGGGGTTCATGGCCTGGAGTCCATGGATTGTCCCCCAAAAAAGCTCCATGGATAAAGTTCAGGGGATCCATGAACTTGAATGGGGAAAAATGATAGCCTTATTTTCACTAAGCTTTGGTTTTCTTTGTGTTCCTATGTATTTTATTCTTTAAAAAACATTCTTCTTCACCAGAAGTGTGTGACAGGTAGGTGGCACACTAGGCTTCACCAGACTGACACACAAAAAGGTTAGGAAGCTCTGCTCTAATTAATAAGAGCCCCCCCCCCGTTCCCTTTTTGAGAAGCTGGCTTCCCTCACCTCCTCATCTTTGCTGCCACCTCCTTGCTCTCAAGCAGGCAGGCCTTTCCCGGTGGCCCCAGTAAGCAGCCCTAAAACTGGTCACCTGAAGACCTTCCCCAAAAGCTTTCTGCCCCTGCACCCACTAGAATGTCTCAGACCTCATGGCCACAGTATCAGGTTCCCATTTCCTGGAGTCCTATCCCAACATTCTCAGGGTTAACATTAGAGAATCAGCCTGCTGTGGTGGGGGAAGGATCACTGGACTGAATATCAGGAGATGAGGCTCATGTTTCCATTTCTACCACTTGCGACCTGTGTGATCTTAGGCAAATTGCTTTGAGTTGCTGTTTCCACATCTGTAAAATAGGGATTATGATATTTACACTGCCTCCCTCAAAGTGTGTGACAGGTAGGTGGCACAGTGGATAAAGCAGTGGGACTAGAGTCAGAAGGACCAGACTCAGACACTTATTAGCTGTGTGACCCTGTGCAAGTCACCTAACCCTGTCTGCCTCCGTTTCCTCATCTGTAAAATAAGCTGGAGAAGGAAATGGCAAACTGCTGTAGTGTCTTTGTCAAGAAAAAACTCCATAGACAGTATTGAAATGCTCAAAAGACATGACATCAGAAGATGAGCCTCTCAGGGCCTGATGTGTTGTGGTCCACAAGGTCACGAAGATTTGGGCACAAGCAAACAACAACAACCACCTCAGAGTGTGGTCAGGATCCAGTGAAACAGTATATGTAAATCAATAGGCGAGCATTTATTAAACAGTTACTATACACCAGGCACTGTGGTAGGCATTCGGATTTCAAAGCCATACCTTCCCTCAAGGGGCTGTATATTCTATATGGGGACATATATGTTTATGCAAAATATACAAAAAATATAAACTAGAAAAAGCTACATAAATGATTAGCTTCCTACGGTGTGGTCCAGATGAGATAAAGTAGTCAAATTCACTTTGTAAATTGTAACACCTATATGGACCATAAGGTGTATCTGAACTCCGTATTTTACATTATTGTTATTCCTTTTCCAACCATGTAGGGTATTCTCAAATCCACATATGTTTGAGGGAGCTTTTACCATGGGGACCAGCCTAGAAATCCATTCTCTGACCCCCTATCAATTGCATTGCCCTGGGATGGTCCCTTTACCCAAGCCTGCCTTCATCCTCATCAGGGCTGGGATGAGGGCAATGCCCAGTAACATGTGGGCAGTCACGGAGCCCTGAAGGAATCATTGGGCCTTGGAGGCAAGAGCTGCAGCATCAAGGAAGGGCAGTTGCGAGTAGCCAGCCAGCCCTCTGGTCTCAGCACTCACCTGCTAGGAAATACCCACTCTCTCAGGATCCAGTAGCAACAGCAGTCAGATCTCCCTTTAGGGGAGGACCACGGCCTAGGAGGGCTGATGAAGGAGGAAGCTGGGGCCCGGGAAGTTAGCCCCGTGGCTTGGCATCGGGAAGAGCACAGGGAATCCCTGATTGGTGACCACTCCTTGTGTATGGTTGCAGCTCTCTTAGATTATAAGGCTCTACTACCTTCAGGCATATCTCTACTGTCAGGTTAGGGGTAAGGCCAAGGGCTTTCATTGTGCTGGGATCATAGGAGTGAGAGCCAGGAGGGATGGGAATTATTCAGAGTCACAGGTTCAGAGCTGAAAGGAACCTTAGAGGTCTTCCAGTCTTTTTGCAGAGGAGAAGGCTGAGGCCCATAGAAGAGGAGGCATTCAAGCCGTCTAACTGCAGATCTAAGGCTTTTTGCCACATGGCCACAATTCCCTGCCCATTCTAGACTCCAGCGTTCTCTCCCCACTCCCACCCCACCCCCAGTGTCCATTCATTCTTCTACCCCAGCTTCAGAGTGGGCAGCTCCTCTCCATGATTAGCCTTCATCATCCACACCCTTTAGCTGCCTGCTTCTTCATCTGAGCCATACCTGATGTTGGGAGCAGGGGGGAGGGGTGTGAACCAGATGGACCAAGGAAAGAGAGAGGCTGTGGAGAACTCTGGCTCAGCTCCTCTGTCCTTGGCTGGGTAGTCTCAGACAAGTCATCTGAACTCCCTGAACCTCCATTTTCTCTTACGTCAAGTGGGAATGATAATGTCTGTGTTGCCTGAGCTTTTGTGGGGCTTATGTTCACCTTAAAGCAATATATAAATGTCAGTAGTAGTGGTAGTAATAATAGCCAAAGAAGAAGGAGAAAGAAATCAGGCCCAAAGTTTTTTTAAAAAGCTTGAGTTGTCCGTTGTCTCTGTCTTAGGGGGGTTATTCTGTTTGTATTTCACTAAACACTGTGATCCAGAATGGGGTGGAAAGAACACTTGATTTAAAGTCAGAGGACCTGACTTCATATCCCAGCTTTTTTATATTGAGATAAGTCACTTTCCCTCTCTGGGCCTCAGTTTTCCCACTATAAAGTGAGGCAATTGGACTGAATGATCCCTAAAGGTCCTTCCCTTCTGGCACAAAAATCCTATAATCCTCCTGCCCTGCCCTGGGCAGCCTCTCCCCATAGAAGGAGGCTTCTTTGTTTTCCCAATTAAAGCTACAGGGCAGTAGTTGAAATTAGTGGCCATCTGGGCTCTTGCCTAATAAAGAAGTAGAAGATGGCATCAAAGCGCATCTGGAACACTTGCTCAGTTTTGGGCAATGTGGTTTGGGAAGGACGTTGACGAGCTGGGGGAAGTCCAGTGGTGGCCACCAAGGGGATGGTGACATCACGGTCCTTGAGTCCGTGTCATATGAGGATCAGTCAGAGGAATTGGGGATGCTTATACTGAAGAAGAGAAGACTTGGGAGACATGGTAACTATCTTCAAATATCTGAAGGAAGGGCTGTCGTATGGAGGAAGGATGAGCCCCAGAATATAGAACCAGGAGCGCTGGGTAGACATTGTGAAGAGACAAATTTAGGCTTGATGTTGGGAAAACCTTCCTAAGAAATAATGCATCCCTCCCTAAGGGGAAGAGGCTGCCTCAAGAATAGTGGGCTGCCCTTCTTTGGGCAATGGCTGGATGAACCCTTGCTGAACGTATTGTAACGAGAATTCCTTTTCAGGGATGGGTTGGACTAGTTGGTCACTAAGAGCTCTTTCTGCTCTGAAATTCTGTGATTATGTGAACACTATCTTATTATTAAATATTAGAGGTCCATCTGGGACTCAGAGGCTGGTCCCAGGCCATAGAAATGGGAATTCCCTTGCCCACTAGCCCAAAACACATATTCAAGGACAACTTTGCCTGGAGACAACAGCTCTGGGGAGGTTTTGCATAGGGGAGAGTGTTGTGTCAGAGCCACTGGGAGCTCCCTACTTTCATTTCAGCCAAAATTTATTAAACTCCTACTGTGTGGGGCACCTTAGTAGGTATCAGTGTAACAGTCCCAGCCCTAGTGTAAGGTCAAGTTTGCAGCCAAGGACCCCACAGTTGGTTCCAAGGATGGAGCTGCCAGGCCTACATTCTATCCAAAGGCCATCCCTGGTAAACCAGTAGCCAGTGTCTACCTCACTGCCTCACCACACCCCTGCTCTGGTCTGGGGCCCTCCTGGGTTAGGGATCCAGATGGCTGGTTCTAGGCCATACCTTTGTCTCCCAGGATTCTTCCCCTGCTTTTCTCTTCTCCTACTTTTCTCGTTCTGTTTATACCTTCCCAAGCCCCGGCCATTTCATCTTCTGCTCCCTCCTGTTCACTCTCTTATTTGTTTCACCTCATCAGTCCCCAGGATCTCTGATATTCTAAGCTCGGTGAGGAGGGGTTCAGGGCCCCCGGAAGCTGAGGGGCCTCAGCCAGCCATGCCCCAGCCATGTCCGTCTCCATCTCTCCTAAGCTCCCTGCCTGTCCTGTGTAAGTAGTCACTTCCCTCCCCCAGGCAACTTTACAGAGGGCACTTCCACCCAGTCCTCCATTCTTCCCTGTAGGGTTGGCCCATTACTATGGGAAACTTCTGAGGAAACCCAAGCATTCCCTCACTCTTTGGCAGCTACCACTGTGAGAGTTTAGAGGACCCTATACGACAGGATGCTTGTCCTGTGCTGCCTTTAGAAACTAGCAGGAAGCACCAATACCGTCTCCAAGCAGGATCATGTCTTACCTGGAGGGGTGATGGGAGCAGAGCTCATAGGGCTTCTTCAGGTGCTGGCACCTGTATACCTAGGGAAACACCAGCCTCTGCTTATAGATGTTAACCAAGCAGTCTTTGTTCTGTGTGAGACAAGAGGCCCTGATGGCCTCAGAGCTAAACAGCTCCTTGGTACCTTCCACAAGCTTCAGGGTTCAAAGAGAGAGAGAAAGAGAGAGAGAGAGAGAGAGAGAGAGAGAGAGAGAGAGAGAGAGAGAGAGAGAGAGAGAGGAGTTTCTGCTTTCTCAGTGACTCTTTGTCTATCCCTCTTCTCTATAATCTTGTCCTTACTTCCCTGAGTCCTGCTCCTAGGCTTCCAGAGGAGAGTGATCTGACGCCTGCCCTATCTCTTACCCCAAGGGTCCACTTTCATATATAAAGGCTAGGGTCCTTGAGATGGGTGGGCCCTACCCCCCCAATCCTTTCCTGGAGAGGTGAGAAAAGAGTAGGCAGTAAGTAGATCTCCCCTCACTATGCATGCCTTTGGCCAGGGTCCCCTGTGGGTTTGGGACTAGGCCTGAAGGGTTTGGGGCCTCCTAAATGTAAAGTCCTAGTTATGCCCAAGTACTATTTCTTGTTCCCCACTGTTCCTCAGATGGTCCCACACAGCAAGGCTGTCACCCAGACCTGATCTCCCTCTTATTTGCTCTCTCTGCCTTCCCAGTATGCTCCTCCCTGTCGGTTTCTCTTTCTGCTTCAGACTCGTATTCACTCTCTCATCTGTTTTACCCCAGCCCCCAGGATCTCTGACATTCTAAGCCCAGTGAGGAGGGGTTCAGGGCCTCTGGAAGCCGAGGGGCCACATCCAGCCGTCCCCCAGCCTTGTCCGTCTCCGACTTTCATGAGCCCCCTGCCATTCCCATGTAAGTAGCCAGCCCCACCGAGGGGCCCTGCTGCTTCTGGTGCTGTGAACGACCGGGACAGGCTGAGCCGGCTACCTTCCCAGCTCATCCCAGCTTCTCTTAGATGGCTGCTGCCAATGCCTCCCACCTGCTTTCCTTCTAACCTTTGCCCAGGCTGCCCACCGGTGGGCCCTAGGCACCGATTGTGGAGTTCTCCTAGACACCAGGAAGGTGTTCTTGTCCCTCTTGAGGTGGTGTCGTAACCCTCGTGGGCCTGCTGCCTGTCTCTCTGGTCCCCAAACTTAACCCAGCTTTGACTAATTATGACTCACCCCACCTGTCCCTTGTGCCTGCTGGGGATGTCTTAGGCCTTCATAGCTAGAGGTCTCCAGCCCACCCCAGTCTAATGCCCCGGACTCTTCCTGCTGTCCTGCCTCCAGCTGGGAGTTCCCCCACCTTTGGGACCAGCGCAAAGAGTGATCCCAGAGAGACAGGCCACAGTGAACTCCTGGGATAGGAGGAAAAGGCTCCCACTTTAACCCTTAGCTCTGCTAGCCCCACCACAGTAGTGTATGTAAGCATATGTGTGTCTTGGCCTGACCTGCCAAGAAGCTGGAAGCTGGGACAGGAAACAAGAATTCCAGAAGCCACGTCCTTCCCCATCCTCTACCCACAAATTCCTGGACCTGGAGTCACGAAGACCTGAGTTCAAATCCTGCCTGAGATATTAATTGCTGTGTCACCTCAGTTTTCTGGGCCTCAGTTTCCTCATCACTAAAATGAAGGGGTTGGATTAGATGACCTCTAAGGTCCCTTCCAGCCCTAAATCTATGATCCTGTGACTCCTAAAGCGGAAGGGCCTTCCAGAGGCCCATCCCTCTCCCTCGAAACAAATCAGCTTATGTTATCTGAGTCCCCAGTGTGGAAGTTGAGTGGTGCTTGGGGGGTGTCTGGGCTGCTGTGAATAATTTCCAAGGCAGAGGGCTCCTTGGTTTTTTTCCCATCTCAACCCATCCTGGAGCTGAAACAACCTTCTTTGTCAGGAAATTCCTTCTTGATCTCTGGTCAAGTCTCTTTTGCCCTATTAGGGAGAAAGAAAACTTCCTTCCCTGTGGGACCCCCACTTTATACAGTTGGTGGGTACCTGTTGGAGAGAAGGATTATAAATCAGAGGTTTTTGTCAACTGAATCCTGTTTTCAGGACATCACAAGAATGAGATACTTAAAGAAATCCTGTAGCTAAAGTTTTATATAGAAACTAATCAGTATCCCTGATTTATGCTAAGCCTGGAGTCATAGCACCTGAGTTCAAATTCTGACTCCATTACTTACTGCCTTTGTGACCTTGGGCAAATCTCTTCATGTCCCTGGCCTCATTTTCCTCATCTCTCACATGAGGGGTTTGGACTAAGTGGCCTCTTAAGTCCCTTCTAGCTCAAAATCTATTATCCAAACAATAATCTTTTTTTTTCTATCCAAGTTTTCATATCTCGAATTTGCTTAATTGGAGGGGGTAGGGGATAAGATATACATTTAAGTGTGATGTACAGAGAAGAAAGGAAAGCAACTGTTGATTCTGGCTTGGAGTAAGAAGATCCACCCTCTTGCTGTGTGATCTCATTTGCCTTCATTGGGCATCACTGGGTCTAACCTAATTCACCACCCTGGCAGGCACACTCCTAGGTCAGGAGATGTTCCCACCTCCCTGCTGCCCTCTAACACCTCTAACATCTCTAGAGGGTTCTCAGAACTCGGATCTAACTTGTGTGGCATCTTGCTCTCCTACTTGGTCTGCCTTTGAAGCTTGACAGATTAATTCTGCCTAACATCTGGATAATTCCTTCCTTCCTTCCTTCCTTCCTTCCTTCCTTCCTTCCTTCCTTCCTTCCTTCCTTCCTTCCTTCCTTCCTTCCTTCCTTCCTTCCTTCCTTCCTTCCTTCCTTCCTTCCTTCCTTCCTTCCTTCCTTCCTTCCTGCCTCTTTCCCCCAGCTTGGCTTCCTGGGCCCATCCATTTTTCCTATTCTGCTCGTACCCTCTGCTCCTATATCTTGTTCACCATCTTGTTTATTTCACCCCAGCCCCCAGGATCTCTGACATTCTAAGTCCAGTGAGGAGGGGTTCAGGGACACCGGACACTGAGGGGCCCCCGCCAGCTGTGCCCCAGTCCTGTCCATCTCCATCTCTCCTAAGCCCCCTGCCCACCTCATGTAAGTAACTGTCTTTTAGGTGGTCCTGCCTGCTGCTGTGTTATATGGGCAAGCACTGGTTTTCAGAGGCCAGCCATGGCTTTGCCATCTCTGAGACAATGGAGGGGGACAGGGAAAACAACCAAGAGGGGGCTGGGTGCCCAAGAGGAATGATACCAGCTAGGCCTTTGTCTCCATATTAGTGCTCCTGGGGGTATTGTGAAGAGGGTGGAATAGATCCCGAGATCTTGGGTTTATTCCATTACTTATCAGGAGGGTAGAGATGGAGGTAATACTGGTAGAAAGAAGGTGCTGGATGTTTACACATGTGTATGATCATACATACCAGTTATGTAACTGGAGTGGAGGGGAGATTGTATATAGGCAGATGCTGGGCCAGTATCTGAGAGTGGGGGGAACCATAGTCTCCCCAGGAAAATTATGGACATGTCACAGGCTCTCAAACTATAGAAAATAGTTATAGGATCAGAGACTCACAGATTTGGGGCTGGAGAGGACTTTAGATCCAACACCTTCAATTTTATAGATGAGAAATTAAAAGGCCAGAGAGGTTGGGGGACTTTTCCACAGGCAGGATTTGAACCCTGGTCCTCTGATTCCAGAGTTGAGGTCTTTCCAGGGTATCACACTGCTTCTTATCAGATCTATGGAACAGACAGAAGTGAAGTCTAAGGAGCTGGGTGAATTTTATGTGTTATGGAGGAGGGCGTGTTGGTGCATATAGGGCTGCTGTGGGGTGGAAAGTGAAACTCTAATTACTCTGAGGTGGTAGGTGTGGCAACAGCAGGGCTGGGAGACCCAGATTTGGGGAAGCCAGAAAAGACTCTGGCAGAAGTGGAGGGGAAAGCCAGGTTGGGGCAGTACAGGTCAGTCTTCAGGGTAATGTATTGGGGTTTTTTATATTTTTTTTTATTAATTTATTTTGATTTATCAACAATCACTTCCTTATGCTTTTGAGTTAAAAATTTTTCTCCCCCTTCCTCCCCATCACCCTCCCCAAGATGGGCGCACAATCTGATATAGGCTATACATATACATTCCTATTAAACATATTTTCACATGAGTGATGTTGTAAGTAAGAATTAGAACCAATAGGAGGAGCCACCAGAAAGAGGAAACAAAACTCAACAGAAGAGAAAAAAAAATAGCAAATGGTATGCTTCGATCTGCATTCAAATTCCATAGTTCCTTTTTTGGATGTGGATAGCATTTTCCATCAGGAGGCCTTTGGAGATGTTTTAGATCCTTGTATTGCTGGGAAGGGTTAAGTTTATTAATATTAGTCGTCACACAAAGTGGCTGTTATTGTGTACAGTGTTCTCTTGGTTCTGCTCATTCCACTCAGCATCAGACCATACAAGTCTTTCCAGGTTTTTCTGAAGTCAGCCTGTTCATCACTTCTTATAGCACAATAGTATTCCATTACATTCATATACCACAACTTGCTCAGCCATTCCCCAATTGATGGGCATCCCCTCAATTTCCAATTCTTTGCCACCACAAAAAGAGCTGCTATGAATATTTTTGTACATGTGGGTCCTTTTCCCATTTGTATGATCTCTTTGGGATATAGCTCTAGAAGTGCTATTGCTGGGTCAAAGGGTATGCACGTTTTTATGGCCCTTTGGGCATAGTTCCAAATTGCTCTCCAGAATGGTTGGATCATTTCACAACTCCAGGGTAATGTATTGTTGATACAGCATGACAGAGTGAGGGTTTGGCCCTCAGGTAGGCAGCTGGCATTGTGCTAGAGCTCTCCTCCTCGCCAGTGGCCCAGAGCCACTGGGAATTGAGTCTGGGTTGTTTCCTGGGCTGCCTCTCAGCTCTGCAAGCCTGGTGCCTGCCTGCTTGCCCTGAGCCATCCAGAGTGGCAGTATCACTTACAGGGATGGATGACAAGATGGGGCACCCACAGCCACAGGGAAGACACCGGGGAGACAAATAGAGCTGAGATGCTTTCTGATAAGGAGAGCTCGCCACAACAGGGGAGGCTGAAGCACAAGGTCCAGGGGACAGGAATGGCAGGGCGGTCCTCAGGTAAGCTTCTCCTCTGGAGATTTCAGAGGGAATTCTGCCACAGAGGTCCAAGCTGGGGCTAGCCTTGGGTGTCCTGTGGCTCTTGCTGTTGCCAATGAGCCCTTAACTACAAGGGCATATCCTTTCCCTGGGGGCTTCCTAAAATTAGATGGTGGAAGAGAAACTCATTGTTGGACTTGAGGCGAGGTGCAGAGATCCAGGACTGACCTAGGACCTGGAGCTGATTCCCCTTGGGAAGATGGGGCTCCCTGGTGCTTAGCACATATTGGTCACTTAATAATGGCTTCTTAACTGACTGATGTGTCCCAGAGTCAGTCTACAGAAGTTGGGGAACAGAGATGTATTTACAAACAGAGGAAGAGAAAAAGGCAGAAGAGAGCAGTAGGGAGGAATAGAGCAGAAATGGACTGAGAAAAGAAAGCCCAGGGAGGGAAAACAGGGGGGGCGGGGGGGATGCATGGTGGGTAAGGAGGAAATCTTGAAGAACAGAACCATGCATTCGAACTTGACGCAGAAGGCAATAGGGAGGCAAAGTGTGGGGGAGGGGAGGAGCATAGCACCTTCACATATAGTCCCCATACCAGAAAAGGAAGGTTGGGGCATGGTGGGAGGGTAGTGAGGGTGTAACAGCCCCTTAAGGCTGCCAGAGAGGAAAGCGCCAAAGAGAAATGAGACTGAGATGAATGGAAAGTTACAGAATCCCAGGCAGAGATGAGAGCTTCAGTGGGCTGCCAGGCTGCCCAAAGGGAAAGGAATGGATGAGGAAAGGAATAGGATTTCTGTGCCCGAGGCAGTCTCCTGGAGGGCTAGAGACCTGGCAGAGGCCATGCAGCAGCAGAGAGATGGAGAGAGGGCAGGCTTGGTGATGGTGGGCCTGCAGCAGCCCGACATGGAGGAGGAGATTCTGGAGGAAGTTAAGACCTGCTGTCTGTCCTTCAGACAGAGACTGGGGTCTGAGCTCCTAGGAGACAGAGAGGAGGGGAAGGGCTCAAGGAGAAAGGCAGGGGAAGCTCTGAGCCCAGACCTGCTTAGAAGGCTGGCAGGGAAGGGCCATTTCGGCATTGCCCTGGCGCCAGACGCCATGTCTGTTTCACGTTTCCAGAACACTCCAGAGAATGCCGGCAAGCTCTGCCACCTTGGCTGGGTTTCTCTGCACAGAAGCTGTATTTGTGGGGAGGAGGAGGAGAAAGGGGAGGGGGAAGTTGTCTTTTTGAGCCAAATACAAAGGAGAAGTAAGGAGAAGTGAGAACCTGCCCCAGGATCTCTGAGGCAGGCTTTCTGTTGCAGAACTAGGAATTCCTACCCATTCCGTAAAGGGGAGTGTTTTGGAGACTCAGCATTAGGGACAGGCTGGTACTTAGCTTTTAAGAGTTTGTTCTAGGGTTGACAGAGGGAAAGACAAGGCAGCCAACCATATGTGTACCACAGTGCAGTTAAGATAGTAATTATAGAGCTAGACCTAAGAGACTCTCATCAAGGCCAATCTCTGCATTTTCTCATTTTACAGAAGAGAAAACATACCCATGGAGGCTAAGTGATTTCCCCAAGGTCACATAGACAGTAAGCATCAAAAGAGAAATTTGAACCCAGGCCCTCAGACTCCCAAACCAGTGTTTCTTTCCCTGTCCCATGCTGCCTCTAATACTAACAGTTTTTCACATTTGTATAGTTTTAAATTTTCACATTTATACAGTTTTAAGTTTTTTAAGTACTTTGGATATGTTATCTCATTTGAGGTTAGGAGTAGTGAATCAGGGAAAATCTGGTATTAACTGGGTGAAGATTCTTGTAAGAAGTAACCTGAGAGTTGGGGGGGGGGGGAATAGGCATATTGGGGGATGGAGGTGGATCAGTTCTCTAGGAATGAATTTGGCAAGGCTTAGAAACCAAGGAAAGAGAAATCTTTGGGGACATAAAAGGATATACAGGTGCTCTCTATTAAGGCCAGTGCGGCTAGAACTGTGAGGAATCAGGAACCCTAAGTAGGAAAGGGACCAGCTTTTGTACCTATCTCTGAGGTCCCTCACTCTTTAACTTACTTATTGTTCATTCTTCTTGTGAAGAAGCTTTACCTGACAGTCCTCAAAGCTCTTAGGGCACCCCTAGTATCTCTCTACCACTGTTTTTTCCTCAATTAGTCCAGCCTGGGGGAAACTACAGCAAAAGTGGGCTTTTGTACACATTTTGTATTCTATTTGTCTCCCTCAATAGTATTGTAAGCTCCCTGAGGGCAGGCGTTGTTTCACTTTTGTCTTTGTATCCCCAGGCACCTAGCAAAATGGTGCATAATAAATGCTTATTGATTGTTGATTTTATTGGTATAAGTTGCAAAGAGGTATATTTAGGCTTGATGAAAAGAAAATCTTCCTAACAATTTTGAGGTATCTAAATAATTTGATTCAAGATATCCAAAACAATTAGTATCCCTAATCATTTGAGGTAAGCAAAAGTGGAATGGGCTGCCTTAGGAGCTATTTGGGGGTGAGGACCTTACAGGGGGTCTTCAAGCAAAGGCTGGATGGCTACTTTTGGAGTGGATTGTGGGGAAGAATCTTGTTTGGTATGGATTGGACCTTTGAGGTCTCTTCCACCTTTTAGCTTCTAGGAGTCCGTGGGTACCACCATCTTTCCTCTTAGCTCATATAGAGAGACTAGACATTTCAAGGGAGTCTCTAGCACATAAGAGAAAGAAGGTAACAGAAAGGAACAGGATTTATAAAGGAATTTAGGAAACACAATGAACAAATCACAGAGCATAGGTATCTTTTCTTAAGAGGTCCCTAAAGTATGTTTAGGGGTTAGCAAAATCTTCCAGTTGCGAAGTATAGTAGAAAGAGCATTGAATTTGGTGTTGGAGGACCAGATTCTGACTCTAGTACTTGCTAGTCATGTGGCCTTAGCCAAATCACTTCCCCTCTTGGGGGCCTCAGTTTCCTCATCAGTAAACTGAAGGAGTTGGAGTG